TACAACTCATCTGGCCCTTGATGCAGAAAAGGCGCTAGAAGAGGTCGAAGTGGGGGCGGTCCCAAGAAAGCACTCGTAGAACGTGATGAAGTTCACAATGTGGAGAATGATAATGGGGTTGAGGTGGTGAAGCTAGATGCCAGGAAAGAAGAGGAGCCCCCACGCGAAAGGGTTCAGGGGGAAACCGAGGCCTCGCCCAAAGAAGTCAAGGTGGAGGACGTGTGCACCATCCAGCGGCATCGCAAATCCCTATGTCGAAAGGGGAATGCGATACTGGAGGTCGGATGGGAACGCCCCCTCCGCCTTCAGCTTTTGGACGTCCCGCTCCGCAACTACGGAGCAGGCCCACCGGCTGGTGACCTTGGTGGTGGCGGTGGCGGTGGAGCCTTCTGCCTTCCGCCTCTTCTACGCTTTCCTAGTCGCCTGAATGCTGCCGACCCTGGTCGACGACCACAAATGACTCGTCTGCCTTCTCACCGAGGAAGGAATGGCGGGCCCAAAGATGATGAACGTCGCTATGGCGGCGGAGCGAGGATGCAAGGAAGCACAAGTGCAGGGAAGCAGGGCCGCGAGGAAGAGGGTGAAGGTGAAATGACGCCCAGTCGCCCCACCGCTCTTTTGACCCTCCACGAGCATGCCGGGAATCGTGGGGCCCCTACGTGCCACGTATCCCATGACCCGTGGGCGGTTCCCACTCACATCCTGCAGGCGCGGGAATCAAGGCCAAGTTACCTCATCAAGACGTATGTTAGCCTGTTCTCCATCCCCTTGTTGACGCAACAATTCAAATAAAAATAAATCATGCCCCCCACCTGTCAAGCCAAAGTTAGGGTGGGGGGGCCTTACGGCTGCGACCGCGTTGAATAGGCGGCATGTCCAAGAAGCAGTCATCGGACCTCCTTCAAGCCTTCAAGACAACAACAACGTAGCTGGGCTCCAAGAAGATCACGCGATGAAGGAGCCCACCCGAGGTCTCGCCATCCTCAATGCGACCACCGCCGAGCTCGAGGGCTACTGACGGGGTCCTGTACCGGGGGTGGCTAACGCCAAGGAGCCCGGCCCACAACGTGATGCTAGCCCTCAGAAGCTAGGCGGCCTTCTTGGCACCCAATACTAGAGGATGGCAACGCCCCTAGATCGCATCCAGCATGTAAACCCTAGGCCTCTCCTGTCTATATAAAGGGAGGTCTAGGGTTCCTCTCCATCATCTATCCTTAGATAGGAGAACTCTTGGTAGCAACATCATACATCATTGTAACCCCTCGCACGAGGTATCCCTCCATTATGAATAACCAAAACCAGCAGGACGTAGGGTATTACTCTCCAAGGCCCGAACCTGGAGAAACCCCTCGTATGACCTCTGATCCATGACTTTTAGCTGCGCTTGGACCCCTACCAAGGGATCTGATGAAAATCTGCTCCGTTACTATCGTCGACCCCGCATGGGCTCCATGGAAGTGGAGGCGCCCCCTTCCCCTCCCACTGAAGCATCAGCCGGGGGTTCCACTCTGATGAGCGGCGAGGAAGCGATCCCTCCTTTGCGCTGAAGCATATACCTCCGGAGCTCCTAGCAGTCTGGTGATCGGGCTGCCGGACATGAGGAAGACAGACGGATCCGCGGACGACCATTTAGATTAGGTAGTAGTTATACCTCCAGAGCCGAACTAGCACCACGTAGTTGATGCAAATGTAATAAAATCCTTCATGTTTATATGAAAATCCGATATTTATATGAAATCCGTCAAGTTTATATGAAATCTGGCCATGTTTGCACGAATTTCGGCCGGTTGGTTCAAGTTGTTGTCAAAATGTATGCGGCTACAGTTAGATGGCGTTCTCCCATATCCGTGTCCGCAGACTGTTCCCCTCTGTCCGTGGACGTATGCGGGAGTAAATTTGCGGGTCGCCGTTGAAGATGCCCTAAAGCGGTTGCCCAAGTACCTGCACTACTAGCCTAAAGTACTCATTGTAGTGCGCACAAGATATGAGGACGGTGCGTCGACCCGTTAGTTGGGCAGCTGAGGTTGTTGCCAGCCCACCCGAGTTCAAGTCCCTTCTCGGACGCGCGGTGCTCGTGAAGTTTCTCCTATAAAAAAATGCCAACAAGAATTAGCCCTTGGGTTGGTCTCTTTTTTTTGTACGCACAAGAATAGTTTGGATAAGTGTACTAATTCCCATTGAGGCCGGCTGGCTGCAGTCATCGATCGCATAGTTGAGGTCGGCGGCACGCAAGGTTACAGAGCAAGCTTCCCGTTTTCCTGGAGGTTGCATCGAGCAGTTTCCCCATGATATACGACTTAAAGATAAGTAACTGCTAACCTTTTTGTGAGCGAAAATTAATGTTGATCGCTCGGACACATTATATTTGCACAAGTCCAGGCAGCTAAGCGCGGCAATAGTCAAAATACGCGAGACTTCTAGAGTAATGTCGGTAGTACAACTTTACCGCAATTCACTCTTCAGTTATACTGTAATGTTCACATGTAAAAACAGCTCAGGACTGTCCGCAAAAATAAAATAAAAAAGAGAGTAAAAACAGCTCAGGCCCATGTACTAATGCATTAGCTTGTGTGGTTATCCAATCATGTAATTTAATCATGGTTGGAGTGTGCTCGATTTTCGCCCGGTTTTCCGTTAATTAATTAAATAATTTTTTCTACTTAATTAATTGATGAGACAAATTTTTTGCCTTTATTTTTTAAAAATGATCAGAGTGTGCCGTAATTCTTTTTTGAGATAGCTCATCACTCCATATACATGCAACCATATACTACTCTCCCTTCTTAAAAAGATATAGGAGCGTTTATATCACTAAAATAGTGATCTAAATGTTCCTATATTTCTTTATGAAGGGAGTATATTATATATCTTGTGCTAGCTTTCGACACGAGACGTCTGTGAATATCCTAGTGCACGCATATGGAGGTGGATCGACGCGTTTTCTTTCCTTCGTCCACACTCGCATGCATATATGCAGTTTTCTTTAGCAGAATATATGCAGATTAATTGATATCCTTATATATAGCCAGCCATCACGAGTTTCTTCCATCTTTGGCTTGGCACTGGTCAATAGTTTTTGGTCGGTTAAAACCGATGATATAGTTGGCAGTACTTAACGTCTGCTGCTAGAGAGATATAGGTCGGCGTTGCGCGTGACGCTGCGGCGATTCTCGCGATCGTTTCATGCATGCGCTGGGTCTGGGTTGGTTATGGAAACTGCGAGGGAGAGAACCGGGAAACGCCCGCGCAGCGCCGGCCGCGGCGGGCGCGTGACGCGGGGCCGCCACCGGAATGGCGCTTGTCCGTTTTTGGTTAAACATCTTGTAACGGACGATTAATCCATGCCTTCCAAAGAAACAAAACGGATGATGATGATGCATGATGGTAATAAAAGCCCCAAAAGCGCGTGGTATTAATTAGCTAGGATAGGGAGGACGGTTGTTTTTGTACGTACAGTTATGCGTACGTACGTACGTATGCACTTGCATACTTGTGGTGCACTGATCGAGGACACGTACACGGCACATCGATCGTAACTTGAGTAATGTATATCTTAAACTCAAAAAAGGAAAAAAGAAATGATTACTAATATATAGCTGGACTTTTACGTTAATCTAACCGTGCATCGGTTTCAAAGTTCATGCAATCATCACTGACTGGCCATGCTCGATCAGGCTGTAAATAATCCATCCCGGTGCAGAGTAAGTGGGTTATCCAAAAACCGATTGATCCGTCGCTGTTCTTCGTAAAGGGAAAGAAGAAAAACTAATCCAAATCCAAATGCATATGCGCTGCTTTCCCGATCGAGCCGAGCCTCGGTCGAACGATCAGATCACTGGTCACGCTACATATAGGCAGACGTAGCCAGATGTAGACATGGGTAATGCTGAATGCATGCACAGTGCGCGGTGCGTCGTGCCGCCTCCGATATCGATCGTGCATGAATTGAAAAGTCTTTGACCGCAACGTCAAGCCGGGCGCGGCTACGATCGAGCCGATGGATGGCAAGTGAAGTGCAGTCAGTAGCCATAGCTGACTAGCCCGATGGATCACCTACCCATAAACAAAAGGGGCAGCGCGCAATACGTAGCGTATGGAGGGGAAGAATGTCATGTTAGGCTCACGTGGGGAGACTATGCACTGATGCATCCATCTCGAACTAGCGCCCACTGTAGCGGTGGTGGAATGTGCTTGAGAGAGACCCCTCAGGAGAGGAGCCGATCGTGCAGTGGATGTTCGAGACAATTAATTCGGGAGAGACTTTTTCCATCTGTACGAACCAACATGGGAGTGTATGCGAGTGAGTGCATGTGTGTGTGTTTGTGTGACGGATAGATGCACCGTTGGGTGCAAATTGGGCGAGGGGGGGACTGTGGTGCGGTTCCCTCTTTGGCTCGATCGCCCCTCCCTCGCATACATATGCAGCATGTTTGCTTCACGCAATCCTCTAGCCCTTAAGAGAGCGAAAGAGCAGAAAGAGAAGTGTGTAGAGAGGGAAAGAGTGGTACCAGCTGCTGCTCGATCGCTAGGCTTCCATGCCGTGGCTTTAAAGTCTCATCAATACCCCAAAAACAAAAACTACACATACACATACGCATATATGTTAGTCCAGCAGTGGGACGAGTAGGGAAAGTGTGCGTATATATATATGAGATATGCATGCATGAGAGAGAAACCGAAAAAAAAAAGAAATCGGGGTGGAACTGTAACCCCCCATGACCTTCCACCAATAGGACAAACACCAAAAGGAGGCAGGGATTTCCATATATTACGCGTTTGCCCCTCCCCCTCCGCGTCTACTATATTGGCAGCCTGCCTCCCTCCCCATTCGACCCTCCTCTCCTCTCGCCCTCCCTCCCTCTCTCCAGACTTACCAACACCGGCGAGCGAGGGCACTTGTTTTATCCTATAACTAGCAAGTGCCTAGAGGGAGCAGCAGATATAAGGGGAGAGGGCCGATTAAAAGCTCTCTTCTTGCGGCCGATCGATCTAGCACGGCAATGAGCTCGGGCGGCGGCAGCAGCACGCTTGGCGGCTGCGGCGGGCCGAGCGGGAGCGGCAGCGGCAGCGGAGGGGGAGGAGGGGGAGGGGGCCTTGGCGGCGGCGGCGGCGGGCCGTGCGGCGCGTGCAAGTTCCTCCGGCGCAAGTGCGTGAGCGAGTGCATCTTCGCGCCCTACTTCGACTCGGAGCAAGGCGCGGCGCACTTCGCGGCGGTGCACAAGGTGTTCGGCGCCAGCAACGTCTCCAAGCTGCTCCTCCAGATCCCCGCGCACAAGCGCCTCGACGCCGTCGTCACCATCTGCTACGAGGCGCAGGCCCGCCTCCGCGACCCCGTCTACGGCTGCGTCGCCCACATCTTCGCGCTCCAGCAGCAGGTATACATCCATCCATCCATCCATCATATACCCATCGATCGATCGAGTTAAATCTCCGTGTTGATCGATCATCGATCCTGCATGCCTCTTTGGATCACGGGAGGGAAAACCCCAGTAGGCGCCATGCACAGCACAGCACAGCACAGCTAGCGCCGCCTCGAGTCGCCAGCTTGCTGGCTGCATGCCATGCGTATGGATCTGGGTCTTTTCCGGGGAGGGTAGTACTCCGGCGGCGCGAGCATGCCGCGTTTCTTCTTTCTGGAGAAGAAAGGTAAGTCTACTTTGGGAGGAAATTAACACGGCGAAGCCAAGCAACGGCAGTGCGAAAAGGGGCACGCCAAGCGCTAAACCGGGAGACTGCTTCCCCAGCTGGACTTCGCGATGAATGATATGCGCGCGCGCACGACGTCTCATCCGTCGCGTCCGCGGCGCCGTCCGATCCCGCCCACCCGCAGATCGTACGCACGCCCGTCACGCCACGTCCACGCCCACGCGCGCATATATGTTAGTACCCCGTCCGTCTCGGTCTCTGGGGTTTGAACAGGCCAAGGAGCTAGTAGTAGTCCTTGGTTCTCGATCTGAACCCCATGAAAAGAAAGCCCTAGCACCGATCTCTAGTTCTGGAAGTTCTAACCGCGCGCCCCCTTCTCTTTTGTTTCTAGTGCAAATCTTTTGATCTTCCTTGCAAATCATTTCGTTGCATGCATGCATGTATGCATGTGGTTCTACTTCTATCTGTTCATGTGTATGAGTATCGTTGTGTGACTGGTTTGAAGCTTGTACTAATGCATGAATGTATGTGTGTGTCATGTCATTCCCTAGGTGGTGAATCTCCAGGCCGAGCTGACCTACCTGCAGACCCACCTGGCCACCCTGGAGCTGCCGTCGCCGCCGCTGCCGGCCGCGCCGCAAATGCCGATGGCGATGCCGGCCCAGTTCTCCATCTCGGACCTGCCGTCCACGACCAACATTCCCACCACCATCGACCTGTCCGCGCTCTTCGAACCGCCGGCGCAACCGCAGTGGGCGCTCCAGCAGCATCACCAGCACCAGCTCCGCCAGCAGCCGTCATACGGCGCCATGGCGCACAGGGGCGGCTCCAGCAGCATGGCGGAGGGATCGGCGGGCAGCGGCAGCGGCAGCGGCAGCGGCGACCTGCAGACGCTGGCGCGGGAGCTCCTGGACCGCCACGGCCGGTCCGGCGTGAAGCCCGAGCTGCAGCCACCGCCGCCGCCGCATCCAAGATGATCTCAATCCTCCCTCCAATCCAAGCCGCGCGCGTGGTCCATGGCCGGAGAGCGATCAAGGCGCAACCGTGCAAAGAGATCGAGGTGACATGGCGGCAGAAGCAGAAGAGTTGGCGCGCGGCAACAAGGAGAGGGATTATTGGGATCGGTGAGGGAGGGATGATGGAGAGCAGCGTGGTTCGATCGAGTAGGTAGAAGAGAAGCAGCATGCAGCATTGGCCGGTTTTCGCGTATCCACCTTGTTGTTAACCAGGGGTGCAAGGGCGCCCCACTTGCCCCATATTCTACATTTGATTTGGCTTTTCCTCCAACAGAGGACGATCGATCGGGTCCGTAGTCAGTAGAGGGTGGTAGTTTGACATGGGTAGCAGTGTTACTTTGGGCCACCGGCCGGACGTTCCATTAATTGCAAGATTTTTAAGAAGCTTCTATTCCTGGCTACCATACACATCCCTCTCGCTGTTGATCACGCTGGCCGGCGATGCTTAATTCTGGCTACTCCAGCAGCTGTTTCCACGCATTTATGGCCTTCGCTAAATTGGTTTTGCAGCTTCCGATCGGCTCGACTGTGATGCCTTCATTTTATTTTATTTTACTTGTTCTTGCATTTGTTTATTTGTTCTTGTTGCGGCGGCCAGCGGCGGTGCTGTGACGCAACAGTGCTCTGAACTCTGAAGTCACCTCCGGCGTGGAGTTATGAACAGCTCATCAGCTCTCTGGATAGGGGACATGTGGCTACATGATCGGGCCCGCGCTTGAGTAGATGAGAGGGAAAAGGAATATGGTTTTGGTCAGTCTGTTTGTCAGGGATGGATCGATCCAGCCTGCTTTGACTATGACCATTGTTATGTGTTGTCCGCCGCTGTTGCTTCTAGGCATACGTATGCCATGCCCCCCGTATCGTGGTGTCGGTTGGGAAGTGAAATTTGAGCAAATCAATTTGAACATGGATCATGATTCTTAACTTGTACTAGCGCGCTGATAATCTAGATAATTTTTATACTACTCCCTCCATTCCTAAATATAAGTCTTTTTTCGAGGTTTTAATGCGGACTACATACAGATGTATATACACGTATTTTAGAGTGTAGATTCATTCATTTTGTTCCATATGTAGTCCGTAGTGGAATCTCTAGAAAGAGTTATATTTAGGAACAGAGGGAGTAGTATACATACGTTGTTTTAGATTTTCGACACAGACAAAACTTTGCCTATTAGCATCCATGTCAAACAACAAAGATGCGCCATGATATGCACGTAATTAGTTTTCCCTGCACCATTCGCATGAACAAGCCTACACAGTCGATGCAAAAGTACGGAATTTTCTCAAGTACCTGGTTTCATATAATTTTTTTCTGAAGTCAAACCATGGAGGACAAAGCGTATCTTGTGGTGAAGATCGCAGGTAAACACCTCGCACGAAAGGCTCAAACACCGAAATACGAGCTCGAACCTGGAGCTGTCTCCCATGAGCTTCTGGCCCATTTATTATTAGGCTTTTGTTAGAATAATTGGGCTTTTGGCCCACTTATTATTTTCAACAATTGCTGAAAATCTGAGAGGCCCATATGGCCCGTTCATACATGACAGGTGAGTGTGAAAATGTAGGCCATTCCCTATTTGGCGCTGCAGGCGCCTGTTACAGGCCATTTCTACCTCCAACAAAGACGCCATAACCACCCAGCCACCTTCTTTGGACATGACTAATCACAATATTTCGTTTAATTATTTACTGTTTTTTCGAACGGTTTTGTTCGGTTTTTCTATTTCTATTTTTTTACTTCTTATTCTTTTTTTCTTACTCTTTTGATAAGTGTGTGAACTTTTTCAGTTTCGCTATTTCTTTTTAAAAATCAACGAACTATTTTTAAATCGTGATTTTCTTTTTCAAAATTGTGAACTTTTCATAAAATAGGAATTTGTTAACTCTTTTCAAACTTGTGAACTTTTGTCCACAGTCAATGAACGTTTTTCAAATTCGTGTACTTTTTTTTTAAATGCATGAACTTTTTTCAAAATTGATGAACTTTTTCCAAAATCAATGAACTATTTCTCAAATCCGTGAACTAATTCAAAATTTTATGAACTTTTGTAGAATCAATGAACCTTTTCAAAATTTCAAAAAAAGTACCAGTCTTTCAAACTTTTTTATTGCAAATCTATAATGTTTTAAAAAATATGATTTCTTTTTTCAGGTGGTTTATATGTGTATATTAATGTTGTACTGAAAGAAGTATTAAATAGGTTTGTTCGCGTATTGTAGACAACTAATAGATCTTGGCGTAGTGGTTGTTTTGTAGAGATCTTGGCCAACGAGCAATTGCCATGCGAGTTAGAATCCCAGCTCTTTCTTGTTTTTCTTTTCGCATCTGGTTTTTGGAGGATGTTGCAGGGCCGGCCCGCTAACGTCGTGTGCGAGCGCCCGGAGACCTAATTGGCGTTGAAAGCGCGGAGAGTGCTCCTCTTCAGCGCCGCTTAGGCAAGTTGCGCTCGAAGGCAAGCGGGAATGGGCCGGCCCAGCGTCGCTCGCTAAATTTTTTTTGGGAAAAAGTGCTAGCTAGAATATTGCGACTTGTGGGAATTGAACCCACATGCCACCACTGAATTAGTTGACTGAATAACCAATGCGACTCGATGGCTTGGTTGTTATCAATGAGAAAAAACAAGCTATCTGACCCATGTTTCAGTCAGAGTATAATTTTTATGAAAAAAAAATATGAAAAAGATTTCACGAATTTGAAAAAAGTTCATCACTTTTGAAAAAGAGTGCAAGGATTTAAAAACAGTTCATCGATTTTGATTAAAGAAAGTTCACAAATTTGAAAATAGTTCGCCAAATTAAAAAAAGTTCATAAATTTAGATCAAAAAGTTCAAGGATTTAAAAAAAGTTCATCAATTTTGATGAAAACAGTTAAGAAATTTGAAAAGAGTTCACCTAATTTCAACAAAATTTCATCAATTTCAATCAAAAAGTTCAAGGATTTAAAAATAATTCATCAATTTTGATGAAAAAAGTTCACAAATTTGAAAAGAGTTCACCGATTTTTTGAAAAAAAATCAGCAATTTCGATAAGAAGTTCACTAATTTGAAGAAGGTTCGTGGATTTTCAAAAAAAGTTCACGAATTCGAAAACATCATCAATTTTGAATAAAAAGTTCACTAGATTTGTTTTTTGAAAAAACATGCATTTAAGAAAAATAAAATATAAAGGAACAAGAAATAAGAATAAATAGAAAATAAACGAGGAGGTGGAAAGGTCGGGAGTTCGAGTCTCACTTGTGCTCGATTTTGCAGTTTGAAACAAAAAAAAAGAAGGATCAATGGGACGGCCCATCACGCAGGGAGGGGTGTGCGCCCGTTTGAGGAAACGCCTAATTCGGGCGCTTAAGGCGCCGAATAGGGTTTGGCAAGCGCCGAGTAGGAGCTCCCGAAAATGTAAATTCCCACCTCAATTGAAAAGGGTGTATTGGGCCGAGTGCAGAGATTCGATACACAGACTCATCTGCACCCGGTCAAAAAATAATTCACAAAAAATTCAAAAAAAATTGCATGGTAGATAATTTATTGCGTGAAGCCGGCTCCAATTTTCAGATCATTTGGACATCTGAGTTGCTCTCAGCTAAAAAGACAGATCGGGTCAGAACAGTACATGAACAGTAAACTTTTTTACACACCCCAAATTTATTTTTTTTGCTGAGAGCTGCTCAGATGTCCAAATGATCCGAAAGTTGGAGCGGACCTCATGCATCAAATTATCTACCATGCAAAAAATATGGTGTGCGCTTTGTGTTCCACGCCACTAATAACTATTTGTGAATTTAAAAAAGATTTTGTATTTTGCATTTATTCCATTTAGCCAAATACATACGCTACCCTTCACATACTAGTATTATAAGAGATAGATCACGTTGTGTTGACAGCAGATTTTGGCATGATCGAAAACATAATTAAGAAGGCCTTAAATATAAAAGTGCTCAAAGTGAGAAAATTCCGTATCGTCAAAAGCAGAAACATTGATGTTTGAGCCATCGCCATCCGATCTCATCTCGAAAGCCGAAGTTGTGTTCGAAATACCGAGATTTTGTATTCAGAATACTATTCGGCTGATTACGCCCCCAAGACTGACTCGTATGGAAAAGTGATCTACACGGATTGTCTTCGTCTCGTCGAAATGATCGATTTTGATATAAAAACCATCCAAATCCAAGTTCGTATGCAAAAGTTAGAGTAATCGGAGTGCAGCCCTGTCATGAAGCGAGATGTGGCGCGCCCTACCAGACGCATGTCTGATGGGTAGCGCGAGGGAACATATGTTTTGCGTGACTGTTTTAGCCCAAAAGATGGCGTTGAATCGAAAAATATTCAACATGAAAGTTGTTTGTCTCGTCGAAATGGTCAAGATTGCTTTTGGACTCGTTTCCATCCGAGGTCATTTACCAACACAAAAAAGACCCGCAAGGTGCAGCCAGTTTAAACCGAACGGTTTTGGAAAGTTTGGATAAACCAATCCGAATTTGACTAGGGTTTTGGACGTGAATCCAAGCCTTTTCCTTGCACAGGAAGTCCAGCCGCCTCTTATATACCTAAGGGGTGATGACCGATTGAACAACACACAATCGATCAAATCATCTACCACATTTTATCTTTTATCTTTTCTCCTTAACCCAAGTTCTTCTTCTTCCTCGTTCTTCGTCTGTTCTTTTTGTTGCAGGGCGGCGAACCTCGAGGCCCTTGGGGCGATCAGATCGACCTAGGGCAGCCCATAGCCACCGCGCGCCCTGACGGGGTCCCTCCCGGGCGTGTGGGGTTTCGGGTCCTCAAAAGCACCCGCCGGATTGCCTGCGTACCGCGCTTCCGACCATATCTCCTTCGACATGAGCTGCAGTGCATCACCCCCGGCGTCGAGGGTACACGGTGACGTGTTCGTGTGTGAACACACTTTTTGGCGACTCCGCTGGGGAAGAAGCTTTGAACGGTCTCTGGCCCGTTCTTGCTACGA